AAAAATCAGAAAATATTCTACAACTCTCATTCTCTCTACACTTTCCACTCTCTACTCTCAATATTCTCTATGTTTTAGCAGCACTGTTGGCAGTCGAGAACAGGCAACCCCATGTTTACAGTTTACTAGTGGACAGGAAGAAACAAATCACAAGATTGTTACGTCAGGTGGACAACAATGGTAACAATGCATTGCATCTTGCTGCTAAATGTGGAAGTCAGAGGCCATGGCTTACTCCTGGTGCCGCACTACAAATGCAGTGGGAACTCAAGTGGTACAAGGTACGTAAATATCTAACAATAATCTTACTTGTTTTTAATAAGCACCGTATTTGTTTATTTTGTTGGTCCCAATTAGATGCCTTGATGATTTTCAATTTGCAATCACTCAGACAAATCAAGAATAATACAATATTTCAACTAAACACTTAAATTTTATAATGATAATCAAATAGTGAAATAGTTTCTTTTTCAATTGAGACTTAACTCAAACCAATAAGGTCATTAATTGAACAGATATTAATCTTTGAATAAAGTTTTAAATGATCTAAATTTTATTGTGCATGGATGCAGTTTGTCCAAAATTACATGCCACCTCGTTCATGTGTTCGCTACAACAAAGAAGGTCAGATACCACAGGATATCTTCACAACTTCACACAAAGATCTTCGAACAGAAGGCAGTAATTGGCTCGTCAAAACCTCCGAATCATGCTCTGTGGTTGCTGCGCTCATTGCAACAGTTGCCTTCGCAACATCAGCATCTGTACCGGGCGGGCTCGATGATAATACTGGTTCACCGGTTTTCAAAGACAAGCCGGCATTCAATGCCTTCACCATCTCGTCACTGCTTGCTCTATGCTTGTCAGTAACTGCCCTGGTCTTCTTTCTAACCATTATTACGTCTCGATACGAAGCGCATGATTTTTCCATCAGCTTGCCCCGGAAACTTTTGCTGGGTTTAACATCACTCTTCGCATCCATAGCTGCCGTGTTAGTCTCATTCTGTACTGGCCATATTTTTCTCCTTGATCGACACCTCAGACATGTGGCATATCCATTATATGCAGCGACTTGCTTGCCGGTTACCATTTTTGCTCTTGCCCAGTTGTCCCTCTACTATGATCTCATAAGGGTCATCTTCAGAAGGGTTCCACAGCGCAGCTACAAGGAATATAGACACTAATTAAGTGGGACTCGATCATCTATTTGGCGCTATAAATAAATTGTGTGTTTTCCAAGTGTGTGGTTTATGTTTTTTATTTTTATTTTATTTTTTTATTTGTTTTTTATTTTTTGAGGAAACAAGTATTAATTGGTTTGAGTGTGTGTGGTTTGAAATTTGTTTCCGGAGTGAGGTGAGGCTTTTGTAAGAAGTATGATGTAAAACCCAGTCTAAGATATATGTATGTTCAAGAATAAAAGGATGAAGAATAAACAAAGATTGTTTTTACAAATAATGCCTGATCTCTTAATTATATGCCATATGCATGATGACATATATTAAAATATAGGCTTTTTATCACAAATGGTCCTTCAAATTTACAAAATTATTACAAATCGTCAGGTTTTTTTGTAACACTAATAGTCCTTTAGGTTGTCATCCACCCATCAAAATGGTCATTCTGTTAGTTTCTGTTAAAACTGAAGTTAAATTCACTTGCCCAGCCTGCTTTTTGAAATAATAATCTCATCATTCCACTCAACTTTCGACCAAACCCAACTGTCAGAACCCTTTCCCTTAATTTCCTCATGGTCCTCCCATTTTGGCGCCCCTTTAGTGTATAACCAATCAAAAAAAGTAAACTTCTGAAGAAATTGAAAAAATCCAGAGAAAGACCATGAGGAAATGGAAGGACCATGAGGAAATTGTTTCAATTTCTTCAGAAGTTTACTTTTTTGATTGATTATACACTACAGGGCGCCAAAATGGAAGGACCATGAGGAAATGGAGGGAAAGGGTTCTGACTGTTTTGTTTGGTCGAAAGTTGAGTGGAATGATGAGATTAATATTTCAAAAAGTAGGCTGGGCATGTGAATTTAACTTCAGTTTTAACAGAAACTAACAGAAGGACCATTTTGATGGGTGGATGACAACCTAAAGGACTATTAGTGTCACAAAAAAACCTAAAGGACAATTCGTGATAATTTTGTAAACCTGAAGGACCATTTGTGATAAAAAGCCAGATAGAGAACATTTGTATATTTCAATTTTCCTCCTTATCTGGAGAAAAACAAGCTGTATGTATCTCTTCCAGCAACTCACTTCGCCTCTTCCTTCTCATCTTCAATCTACTTCTTTTAAAGATCTTCTTTGAAGCAAGTTGCAAGAGAAAAAAAAATAATACAAGTAGGCCTCTACTCTATTTCTCCACCCTAAGTAAGCCAAGGAGAATACAACCCAACTCTGCAAATGTAAACAACTAGATACAAATGTAACCTAGTCTAATAACCTTGAGCTTGAGAAATTACATTACATATCCTATTACAAAGTTGGCAAGGAAAGCTAAAAGAATTACTAGCTAGAATACAACTCAACAAGATGATATGTAATTTAAACAATGAATGAAATGGAAAAAAACAAAACAAAACATTGATGGAGTCATCAAACTGCTCCAGAGAAGTTGCAAAGGAGGTGGATGCATATCATCACCCACACTAAAAGCAGTTACACTTTTCAAAAATATTAACGAAAGAAAGCATATTTAATATGTGAAAGAAGAAGTTAGGATACAATCATAATTATGCTATGAACAAATAAACAATATTTACCTCAAGAGCTGTAAGACAATTATGCAATGAACAAATAAACAATATTTACCTCAAGAGCTGCAAGACGATTGAAGTAGAGATCGATCCTCTCCAATTATTAAATGCCCCCAAAACATTATTCTGACATTGCATCAAACACCTAGTCAGCAGTTTTTAAAATGTTATTAAGATGAAGAAGTACGGTTTTACCCTTGGATGCACCGATACGCCAGATTTTTGGGGTATGCGCATATCCGATACGCCCCCGATACGATACGGCACCGATACGGCTCCGATACGTATCCGATACGCCACGTGGCGTATCGTGGACTTTTCTGACCTGTTGACTTTGCGATACGGCTCCGATACTTCGTCGATACGGTCACGATACGGTCGCGATACGTTTTCGATACGTCAGGGGGTAAAATTGAAAATAATTGGAAAATTTGGGGATGATTTTGAAGGTTATTAAATATTTGGGGTAAAATTAAAACTTAGAAGTTCAAACACTCTGCCTATGTCGAGAGGCTAGGTTTTTTTGGGTCTCATTCAAACAGCAAACAAAACAGAAGACGGAGGAAGAAGGAAATAGGAAGAAGGAAGAAGGAAGAGAACTCACCAGCGTCGTCGCACCTGGCCGTCGCACCCATAGCCGTCGCACCCATAGCCGTCGCCATCTCAGATTCATTTGGGGTTTCTTACGCAGCAAAGCAGCTCAAGGTTTTCTTTCTGTTTTCTTTTAATAAGCTGCTTTGCTGTTTTGTTAGTTGGGTTTGGGTATATAATTTTAAAAATTGTTGTGTGGTAGTTTGTGAAGTTGGAATTGTTGTTAATTAGATAATAGGTACGTATATGCTATAGCCTATATTATATGGGTTGGGTATATAATATATTCTTTAAAATATTTTGGAAACAGCTGCCTATGAATTGTTTTGTATATGTATTAATTGTTTTTTTTATATCAAACTTCATTTGATTGACAGGAAATGAGTAGTGTGGGTAATAATTCTAGTGAAGGGAATACTAGTAATACTAATAATAATGGGGAGAATGGGGAGAATGATAATACTCCCTTATGGAAATATGTCAAGAAGCTTGACAAAGACGGTAAAGCCGGGGGCAATACTTCATTCCAATGCAACTATTGCCAAAAAACTTTCAAAGGATCATACTTTAGAGTGAAGAGTCACTTGTTAAAACTCAAGGGCAATGGAGTTGCTTGTTGCACTAAAGTTACAAATTCTCATTTGATGGAGATGGAGAAAGTAGTGGAAGAAGCGGAATTGAGGGTGAAAATGGCACAACTTAGAGATGTACCTTTACCCACCTCCAACACTTCAAGTCAAGGAGGTTCAAGTAGTGGTTTGGGTGTGAGTTCAAATTGGTATGGCACCACAAGTAGTAACCCAAAGAAGAGGAAGACTAATCCTATTGAGAAAGCATTTAACAATAATCTTAGAGAACAATTAGATGGTGAAATTGCAAGAATGTTTTACACGGGTGGTTTGTCATTTCAATTTGCAAGGAACCCCCATTATGTAAATGTCTTTAGGATTGCTTGTAGTAAAACACTTCCGGGTTACCACCCCCCCGGTTACAATATGTTGAGAACTACACTTCTCCAAAAAGAGAAGAATAACATTGAAGAGTGTTTGCAACCAATGAAGAGGGCATGGCAAAGTAAAGGGGTAAGTGTTTGTAGTGATGGGTGGTCGGATGCACAAAGAAGACCTCTCATTAATGTCATGGCCATTTGTGAAAGTGGGCCAATGTTCTTGAAGGCAATAAATTGTGAAGGTGAGTGTAAGGATAAATTTTTCATGGCGAACTTACTTATTGAATCAATCCGGGAAATAGGTCCCCAAAATGTGGTCCAAGTGGTAACTGACAATGCTCCGGTTTGTAAGGCGGCCGGACATATTGTTGAGGCAAAGTTTAAGCACATCTTTTGGACACCATGTGTGGTCCATACCCTCAATCTTGCTTTGAAGAACATATGCTCACCCGTGCCAAGACATCCGGAAGTGTATGAGCAATGTAGTTGGATTTTAACAATCTCAAGTGATGCATGGTTTATTAAGAATTTTATTATGAACCATAATATGAGGTTGTCAATGTATAATGATCATTGTAAGTTGAAGTTGCTCTCCGTTGCCGAGACACGTTTTGCTTCTACAATTGTGATGCTTAAAAGATTTAAGCAAGTGAAACAAGGCTTAGAGCAAATGGTTATTAGTGATCAATGGGACATTTACAAAGCGGATGATGTAGTAAAAGCAAGAAGGGTGAAGGAAAAAATATTGGATGAGTGCTTTTGGGAGGACATTGATTACATACTTAACTTTACTTCTCCAATATATGAGATGCTTAGGTTGAGTGACACGGATATGCCTTGTCTTCACTTGATTTATGAGTGGTGGGATAGTATGATAGAAAAAGTGAAGACAAATATATATCGGAAGGAGCGCAAGCAACTCAATCAAGAGTCAATGTTCTTCAATGTGGTGCATGAAATTTTGCGCCAACGATGGACCAAGAGTAGCACACCACTCCATTGCTTGGCACACTCTCTAAATCCTAAGTAAGTCTTTACTTTAGTAAATTTCTCCCTATGTTTATCATTATAATTTTATAATTCTTATCATATACTTCTAGGTATTATTGCAAGGAATGGCTTGATATGGCTCCTAATCGTTGTCCTCCACATAAAGACATTGAGATTACAATGGAGAGGAAGAAATGTATTGAGAGATTCTTTTCTAATGAGGTGGAGCGAAGAACGGTTAATGAGGAGTATGCCTCTTTTTCGGCATGTATTGAAGATTTTTCGGGTATGGACTCTATGAAAGATAGATGTTTCATGGCTCCAGTAAAATGGTGGGTTATCCATGGAGCTTCCACACCAATTCTTCAAACCATAGCATTGAAGCTACTAGGACATCCTTCTTCCTCCTCATGTTGTGAAAGAAATTGGAGCACTTACAGTTTCATTCACTCTATTAAGAGGAACAAGATAACACTGGAAATAGCGAAAGATTTAGTATTTGTGCATAGCAATCTTCGTCTCCTTTCAAGGAAAAGGCCCGAATATAAAGAAGGGGAAACTCATATGTGGGATGTTGGAGGAGATGCATTTGATTCCATGGATTTGGAAAATGCCGGAGTGCTTGAGATTGCAAACCTCTCTCTTGATGAACCAGACTTAGAAGCCATCATATTTACCCATGATAAATGAAGTTAGAGCTTTGAGAAGTGATTTCTAATGTTTTAATTTGTGCTTTGTTTATGGATACTTGTATTTTGTGTGTTTTGTTTAATTTGTGCTTTGTTTATGGAGGTTTGAATGAAGTTATGTGTTTTGTTAATGTTTTGAACATATTATGGATGAAATATCAAATATCAATTATTCTATTTATATTATTATTTTTAAATATATATTATTTTAATTGCCGTATCGGTGCCGTACCCGTATCCTACTTTTTGGAGATTTGCCGTATCGTGGGTTTCTGGGTAAACAAATTTCTGGTTTGCAAATCTGAATTTTCTGGGTTTGTGTTTGTGAGAATTCGTATTTCTTAAAAGTTTTTGAAGAAAATTAAACGTTTATAAATATATAAATATATATATATATGTATGTTTACAATACTATAATTATTTGTATTTAGTAAATATATGTATGTTCATTTGGTTTACTATAAATGGTAACTATAAATGGTTGCATATATATGTTCAATTGTAGTTGGCAACTTTACATTTCCTTGCATATTAAATAATTAACTTAGATATTTACATTTACTTGCAGCACACTAAGGCTTACAAGTGTCATTGTGACTAAGCAAACATTACCTTGAGCTGTTGTAATTGTAGAAATAGTTAGCCATGAGTTGTTGTAATTGTAGACATAGTTATCCTTACTTGATGCAAATCAATATGCAGCCAATGAAAGTATAGGAGAGTTGCCGCCATCTTCTTAGTATAAATAGGGTCATCACTACTTGTTTTCATACATGGTTGTGCTTGAGAAAATATAAGAAACCGAAATAAAGAGAGTGAGATAGAAAAGAAGAAAGAAAACAAGAGAAAGCAAGTGGTGATCAAATTCTCAGGAGGAATTAGAGGTCGTAGCTTGTGTGTTTTCTTAACTTGGAGCTAGCTTTGAAAACGAGGTAGGGGTTTCTTGGGGGCCTTTTTCAAAGATTGTTTTAATTAAATTATGTGAGCATTACATTATGCGTGGTAGAGTTTGATTGACGTTCCTTGTATTGGGTGTTTATATACTCTTAACTGTTTATGTTGGCATAAGTATATATGCATTAATGATGTTTTAAATGACTACATTGTTGTGCATATATCATGTCATGGAATTTGGCTAGAATTGTTGGATGGAGAAAATAATGAAGAGGGTAATGGATATAGTCTTTTGTGTAGTTGAGTCTAACTCTTTGCAGGTACCAGGTCTCAGGGATCCCACAGTGCACATGATTTTTATTGGGTGATTCGGGACTGGTGACAGGGAGTTAGACAAGATGACTAACAAAAGGGGAATTATGGGATGATTGAAATGGGTGTTAGTTCATATAAATGGGCATTCGGGACCAAGTGATATAAGCATGGTATGTGACGTGCAGGTCTGCTTGTCCAGTTATGTGAATTAACGGGATTAGATGAAGAGCATTCATGCATTATTATTAATAATGTGATATTTGGATGTGTGATTATTCGTCACCTAATTTAATTATATCAATTTCATGTAAAAATGTTTATGTCCCTACTGAGCTGTGGTTTCGCTCACCCCTTAATAGATTTTGCAGGTACCGAACCTGAAATCTAAAGCTTGTGATGATTTTGGCATATTTATAAAAGTGTACTGTGTACATAGCTTGTGGATAAATAATGAGTTACTATTTCATTAAACTCTTTAGTAGTTCTGGCTTGTAAAAATAATGTAATTATTTTAAGATATCAGATGTTGTTGTTTCGAATATTCTATGTGAAATATTTACTTTATTTATTTAAATGTTTCTTCACATTTTAGTTAAAGTTTTTATTAAATTCTATAATTAAGGTGTGAATCACGTCTTAATCCAAGGTTACGTAAACCCGTGGGTTGGGGCGTGACAATCAAGTTTCTTTGGAGCCACAGTAGAAGCTCCCAATCTGCAAAAAGAAGACAAACAAAACAACCAAGCACAGTCAACAAACCAGCTAAAATGGCAAAACAACAACAAGAAGCCAAATGGGAAGCAAAGGGAATGGGAGGAGTAGAGTGAGGGGGAGGGTTGAGAGAGAAGGGGGAGGAGAGGGAAGCCACCCACCCCAAAAGGGTTGGCCCCTGAGGATGTTTTGCTAGGATTTTCTCTCACCGCCCTATGCTTCCATATTTGTATTACTATTTGTGCATGGTCCCTAATGTATTTGTTATTATGGTTGATGGTTGCTTGAGTAAATTTCCGCACAGGAAATATTCGCGGGTTGATTCTTCACCCTTCGAGCTTCCTTCTCTCTCCTCTTCCTTGATTCCAACGAAAAAGACGTGAGTAAATAGATCACACTTGGGGGGTGTTGGCCAAAGGTCTTCCGATGTCTAAGTCAATTAAATGTTCTTTAAAAAGATACTGAGATAATGGAAAGGATGGAGGTCTTCTCTCACGAGGAGAATCAAGTGGCGGGAGCCATGTGTGAGGGTGGCTGGAGCCGTGAAGAAGAGAGTGGAGTGAGAGAGAGAGGGCTTTTCAAGGGTAGAAATTAGATTACCTCATAAGTGTGATGTAGTCATGTATTTATAGTGCTCGTTGTAGGCTAGGGTTTGGAGAATAATCCTTATTCGGTTAGGATTATTCTTACCCATAAATAGGAGATTGGCTTTAGTCAAGGAGATTTGATGGAAATCTCATCCTCAATTTGGGGAGATATTCTCATCTTAAATCAAAGATAATTTCCGTAAGTAAATATGATTTAATTAGGGTAATCAGTTGACCTAATGAATATTCCTTTTCCACATGTCGTTCATCTATTGGTTGCCGAAATATGTGTTCCTATAATGGTCTGCCTAATTTATTAATACAATTATCATTTTTTTCTATAAAAAAAAAAATCAGCAATTCTACTAATTGACGCTATATTTCTCCTATAAAAGGCACCATATATGTATGTAATGACATCCTCATAAACCAAGATTCACATACCCCAAAAAAAAAACACAAAGATTAGCATTTCATGAAACACATTTCAACACTGATATGTAGCTTAATTAGTTAGCCCTAGTAGCTTTCAGAGATCTGCGGCAGTCAAGAAGTCTTCCACTATCTGTGCATAACTTCTCCTATGTGAATCGAATCTGCAACATGAGTCCAGCAAAGTATATATGGTTTGTACGATTTGCCCTTTAGATTTCTTTTTAGTCTCTCCTATTTTTCTTCTTAAATCATAGCATATGAGTAGTCACCATCAAACCCAAGGGAGGCTCATGGGTTCGGAAATAAAGCTTTCAAAAGATAAAGAGGAAACTAAGATGAAGAAGTACTGTTTTACCCTTGGAGCTAGCATGCAAGAAGTCTAGGCCGATCGAACTCCTCCATCAAGTTTCCTTTGGAGCCTCTTTTACTCTTGGGGTTAGCCTCCGCTCACCAAATTCATGCAGTGTGTTCCACAAGCCTTTCGAGTATAATGCCTCTTGGAGAATACGCTTTCTCTTTTCGAAACTTGCTGGCTTGGGACTTTAAACGTCATCATTTTGAAACTTGCTGTTACTGATTTCGAGCTTCTTCATCCAAAAACATCCTTAGTCTAATCAGAAATCCTAATATGGTATCCAATCTCGTTTCAAAATTTAATAGACACAAATTATATAAAATTGTATCTGCAATTTTGTTGTTACACCAGTATAACTTTGTTGTATAAACCATGTGATGAACATTTTATATATATATATATAAACAAGGGCTAATTAATTTAGATGCACGTGAATCATGATTAGAGTATACTTCTATTGTTTTTAGACAACAAGTACCATAGGCATATGGTACTTTACAGGAGAACAAAGTTATAATAACTTGACTTGATATGTAATTATTCCAGCGTATTTCATGAGTCACATTGAAATTATATAAAATTGTATCTGCAAATTTGTTGTTACACCAGTATAATTAACTTTGTTGTATAAATCATGTGATGAACATTTTTTTATATATAAACAAGGGCTAATTAATTTAGATGCACGTGAATCATGATTAGAGTATACTTCTATTGTTTTTAGACAACAAGTACCATAGGCATATGGTACTTTACAGGAGAACAAAGTTATAATAACTTGACTTGATATGTAATTATTCCAGCGTATTTCATGAGTCACATTGGTTGCATGAGTAGTGCCATATGGAGAGAGAAATTGAACTTTGCATCCAGCTGAGCACAAGCTCATGCGTTCCACGATTTTTCTTTTCATTGCTTCTCCTTTTTGTTTTTAGGTACAAAGGTTTGTATCGCTTGGAACAAGCAATCCCTTCCTTCTCGGAAAATATATAATAATAAGCACCCTTTTGGAAAAGTAGGGTAAAGAATAGGCTCAGTCCCAATTATTGAATATAATTATCACTAATTTTTTATTAAAAAAAAAGCTCAATCCCAGGATATCAGTGTAACATAGGATACCAAATTTACCAAATTTAGGGTTTAGAGGGACTTTCAAGAGGGAGGAGGAAATTGATTGGGGGAGACGAGGAGTGATGGAGGAGGACGCAGAAGTTTGACAAAGTTTATTATTATTTATAATTATTAAATATATTAACCAAAATGAATGAAAAATAAGACAACTTAAAATGAAATTAAATGAGGTGGCATGTCCAAGTAAGGTGCCACATAATGTGATATGGAAATGTGGTAAGAGTAACATTATTCAATGAATAATTATAAATAGAGAACATTTTTGCTCATCGCTTTAACCCAAGGTGTATCCTCACACCACCCTTCTCAACACTTGACGCGTGTTCATATGCATGGTTCCATAAATACAAAGTAAAAAGTTAACTATAATTATGTCTATATGGACACGTGTCAAGTATTAGGAAGAGTGATGAGGATACACCTTAGGATAAATGGCTAATCAATTTTTTATTATCTTACTTTTTGCATGGTTGGTCTTTGAAGGGAAACTTAAAGAATGGATGGTTGGACATGTATAACAATTCTCTAGAGTGGTATCACAAACTTTAAAGGCTTTTCTTTGCTGTATATATCACATCACTCATAGTTGCAGTGGACTTTAGCTTGTTCCAAAATGCCACGGTCTTCACAGGAGGAAGTGGCCTTTCTCATGTCACAGGAGGTATGGGGCAAAATCCTGTTCCTAAACGCCATGAAAGGTGAATGGGAAGAGGTTAAGGAGGCCTATAGATCACAGGGTTCCGTAGTTCAAAAGATGAAGATCACCAGAGCGGGGGACACTGCTCTACATATCGCTGCTTCGTATGGCGAAACACAAATTGTGTCGGATTTGTTGGAAATCATTGAAGACGACGCATCCAAGTCCAACATATTGAAAATAGAAAATAACAAAGGCAACACACCTCTCCATTTAGCTGCTACAGCTGGGGATGTGAAAATGTGCCATGCAATGGCCACCATAGACCCCGACCTCGTGTCGTCTCGCAACCATGAGAATGAAACCCCTCTCTTCTTGGCAGCTCTTCATGGAAAGGAAGATGCTTTTCTTTGCCTTCATTCTCACTGTGAACAAAACTGCCATTCGTTTAGAACAAAAAATGGTGATACCATTCTCCATGCAGCTATCTCCGGTGAATACTTGAGTAAGTGTGTGGCCTACACCCACTTCTCAAATATAATTTTTTAACTTTATTTCATTTGTATTATTAATTTCGTTTTTAAATATATAGGTTTGGCATTCCAGATCATTCTGTGGCACCCAGACCTTGTTAATTATATGAATGAGAGTGGCTTCTCTCCGCTCCATATTCTCGCCAATACTCCATCAGCATTCAATAGCAGTAGCCGCCTTAGACCGTTGGATCGTCTCATATACAAATGTAAGAATCTCTATCGATTATGATCAAGAGCCAAGCTTTTGGATATTTAATTCATGGTATACAACACATGCATGATGAATTTGCACTTTGCATTCCCGTGTCTCAATGATTATACTAAATAACTTTCTCAGAAGAATGACTAGAATTGTTAACATTAATCTAAAAAAACAAAGGTCATTGTACTTTTGAGTTTTTTTTATCATAAATAACTTTTATCAGGGATGTCTTAATTATTAGTGCTTTTTTGTCCCCATGAAGGGACCTTGGTCACTTTTTTTATACTAGGTTAATTATATCTTGCAACTTTACTTCCGTCCAAAGAAAATTTTCCATTTCATTTCTCAGGTTTGATTGTTAAAGAGCTAAAAGAGGAAAAGGACAAAAAGAATACTTGTCCCCAAGAGAAACAACCAGGAATCAATATGAGTTCTGAATCTGATCAAACATTAAGTGAGTGCTAGTCACTTCCAATTTATACGCTTTTTCATCACCACCACAAGTCTAAGATAGTTTCTCCATTTCCAGCTCATTCATGGCGAAATATATGTTGTTCTCTCAGTCCAACTAAGAGAGGAAATAAAAACGAAGATGCTAGAGATGCAGAGAATCCCCAACAAAAGAGCAGCTCAATGCAAGGTAAGTTGGGTACCATAATGCGGGGGAGTTGGGTCAATTTGTGTGGGGGGGAAGAGAGAGAGAGAGATGTTGAGCCAAGTGCAGTGGAAACAAGTGTAAATATGGGTTTGAGCCAAAAACTGCAGAAGCTTGAGTGAAAATACAATAAGAAATATGGAGAGCTTAGAGACACAAGATGTAACATGCAAAACCCTTCAATGTGAAGGGAAAAACCACGGGACAAACTCCAAAATTTCTTCCACTAATGAAAATGAGATTACAAGCACTAAGAGCATCCACAATGATGCTCTCTATTTCTTAACTAAAATTTAGCTAAAAATATAAGAAAGCTATTTTAGGAGCTCTCTAAAAAATTTCAACTCCAACCATACTCCCTAATTTGGAGGGTCATAAATGCTATAATTCTTTTTTGATTGGTCCATCTCTATTAAAAAATAAAATAAAAAATAGTTAGCATTAAATAAAGGTTTGAAATACTCATTAAATAAAGCTGCATTAAATTATAGGGAGCCACTAGGAGTCCTTTCTCTCTCCTCAGATTTAGGAGCTCCTAGAGGATTCCCTATTTTAGGAGGTGGATAGAGAGCATGGTTGGAGTTGCATTTTTACAATGCCTCCCTAAAATTTGTCTAAGAATGTGATTTAGGGAGCCTATGGTGGATGCTCTAATCTCTCTAAATCAATAGAGGATGACTTCAAGAGAACAAACTCTACTTGCTAAACTCTCTCTCTTAAACAGAGGAAAAACACCACTCACATATTGTCTTACTCTCTCTCTCTACATAAAATCTGTAGGATAGTCTCTTCAGAATTCTATGTAATTTTCAATTCATTTCATCCAAACGGAGGGAAGTAATATAGCAAGCAGACAACCACCTCCTAGGGAATACACCCACTAATTAATTATGTGGCTGCTCAAAAATACCCAAGACAGCTGTGTAATAATTCTTTGTCCAAGGCTGTGCATCTTAGACAGTTGAACATTAATGAGAAATATTAATTTCATGAGGAGGAATTCTAACAATTTCATAAGTTGGGTACCATAATGCGGTGGAGTTGGGTCAATTTTGTGTGGGGGAGAGAGAGAGAGAGAGAGGGACTCAGAAACCATTTGTGAAAATAACTCTAACATTTTTCTGTTTTTTAAACTGCAGCCACGAACCAACGACAGAAGCAGGAAAGAGAAAGTCATCCCAATTCTATTTATGCCTCATTTGTTAAGTTTTTATGCTTAATCATCACGAAGGCCTTGGTAAAGATCGATCGTTTTTTGCCACTAGGTCAGTATCAAAACTTTGTGGTGAATAAATACTTTCGTTTATATTTGTACCAATGTTTTGCCATCACCTAATAAACTTGCCACATCTAGATGTATACCAGGCCATGATCCCCAACCCCCCACCCCCCAAAAAGAGAATACCACTATAGATAATCCCATGAAATCAGTCGATCCCCAAAATCAGCCTTGGGAAACTCTTCATCACAAGACCAACTGCATATCAGCTAGAATTGATTCATAATTTATTCTGGCATATACGAGATTTATTTTATTTACCTTGTATTGCTTATTTTCTGTAAATAGACTTGAGAAAGTCTACCCCTTACATTTATATTTGGCTGTAATACAGAGACCAAAATCATAGACAAAACTCTTGGCGAGAAAAGGCGACATAAATGGGCTACTCAGGTCATGAAGGAATTGGTTAAGAATACTTCTTCATACATGTATGAACAAACTCCCGGAGAAACTCGAGCAGTAGATGATGAAAGTTTTGAAGAAGTTCCTAATAAACCTGTTACCGAATCAGAGGAGGAGGGTAAAAGTAAAAGTGATGAGAAGAAAGACAAAGATAAGAATAATGAAACTGATGAGAAAGTGAAAAGGCAAACACCTATATTAATTGCAGCAAAGATGGGAGTAAGTGAAATGGTTGAGGAAATCCTAGAAAATTATCCAGTGGCTATCCAGGATGTGGACTCAGAAAACAAGAATGTTGCACTCTTGGCAGTTGAGAACAGGCAACCCCATGTTTACAAATTACTGCTAAAGAGAGAGAAGCAAATCGAAAGCTTGTTACGTCAGGTGGACAAGACAGGTAACAATGCATTGCATCTTGCTGCTAAATATGGAAGTTATCGGCCATGGCTTACTCCAGGTGCCGCACTACAAATGCAGTGGGAACTCAAGTGGTTCACGGTATGTACGCTATCGATTTCACACTACATTTTTCAGTACTAGTCTTTTGTTGGCAAGCAATAATGAGAATAGCTTGTGGGGATTGACCATTATGTATTTATTAATTTTAATGCTTTTTTTTTTGCCATTCGCTAGGGAGAGGGAGGGGGATGCTCTGAACCATATATATTTAAGCCTTCTTTCAACAATCATCGTTTAAAACAAAACTTAGGAAAATTGGAAATCATTCAAACATCGTATCATGATCAAAATGCAATATTTTAACTAAACACTGAAATTTCATGATAATGATCAAATAATTAAATCTTTTTTAATCGAATTTTTTTTCTTCCTATTTATACAAATGATATTATACTTTAATTTAATCTAAATTACGAGGAGGGGAATTCAAACTTAGGTGCAAAATAGGAGCACATCGGCTCTAGCCAACTTGACTAAATTTTGAATAAAGATTTGAAAAATAGATGGTTCATCTTATTCAATTACTATGTTCAAGAAATTGGGAATACGTCTCAGGCCTATAATTATGTATATATGATAGGCTTTGATTAATGTACATCTTAATATCAACATTACTCTTTGATTAGTATTATAACTACCTATAGGCTTTGATTAATCTTTGATTGTACATGATCGACCTTTCGAAGAGTAAAGTTAAATCTTTGTCTTGCATGCATACAGTTTGTCCAAACTTCCATGCCATCCCATCTATCTGTTCGCTCCAACATTGAAGGTCAGACACCCAAGGAGATCTTCACAACTTCACACAAACCTCTGCAAAAAGAAGGCAGTAATTGGCTCGTCAAAACCTCCGAGTCATGCTCTGTCGTCGCTGCGCTCATTGCTACTGTTGCATTTGCAACATCAGCAACTGTACCAGGAGGACTCGATAATGAAACGGGTGAACCGGTTTTCAAAGACAAGCCAGCGTTCGATGCCTTCACCATCTCATCACTGGTTTCTCTCTGCTTGTCAGTAACTGCCTTGGTCTTCTTTCTTTCCATTATTACATCTCGATACGAAGCACATGATTTTTCCATCAACTTGCCCCGGAAACTTTTGCTGGGTTTAACATCACTCTTCGCATCCATAGCATCCGTGTTAGTCTCATTTTGTACTGGCCATATTTTTCTCCTTGATCGACAACTGAGATATGTGGCATATCCATTATATGCAGCGACTTGCTTGCCGGTTACCATTTTCGCTCTTGCCCAGTTGCCCCTCTACTATGATCTCATAAGGGTCATGTTCGGAAAGGTTCCACAGCGTAGCTACAAGGAATATAGACACTATTAACTTAACTGGGACTCGACTCGATCATCTATTGCCGCTATAATTAAAATTGTGTTTTTCCAATATAGTCTTCTTTTCTTTTTCTTTTTTTGGGAGGAAACAATTATTGGTTTCAGTGTGTCTTGTTTGAAATTTGTTTCCAGAGTGCGGTGAGGTTAATGTAAGAAGTGTGTGCCCTAATTAAAACTAAGTCATATGATGTAATGTTAACTTCAAGAATAAAAAGATGAAGAATAAACAAAAATTGTTTTTACCAAATAATATGCCTGATCTCTCATAATTATATGCTATATAAAAGATAAGAACTAGGGTTTAGGGTTAAAGGGAAGTACTTATTCTTCTTGCTTTTTCTCCACAAACGCGCCCCCTTCTAGTTGCATAGTAGTTAGTCTATGCCACGACAATATCCACACAGGCCAACCTAGTATACGTGTAGATGCGACAGCATCAGAATTTTGACCCAAAGAAAAAAAAAATACTACAAAGCCCTGAGGGGCACTGCACCTATATGGGAGGAACGAGGCCGAGTGAGAGAGAGAGAGAGAGTTGAGAGCAATTTTGTTAGGGTATTGGAATTACCTCAAGTGTGGTGAGATACCATCTATTTATAGTCTTCTTGCTTGGCTAGGGTTTGAAGAATAATTTCTCATTTAATTGAAATTATTCTTATCAAAAATAGGTGATAGGATTAATCAAGGAGATTTTGTGGAAATCTTCATCCTTGATTTAGGGCGATATTTCTATCTTAAATAAAAGATAATTACCTAATTAAATCTTATTTAATTATGATAATTAGTTGACTTAAGGAATATTCTTTTTTCCATGTGTCACCTTGTGATTGGTTGCCAAAATTCATGTTCCACAAATGCCCCCAAGCTTCTGCATGACATGGAGAAGATGTGAAATATTTATTGGGCTTCCTAACTGCATTTGGGCTCCTTCTGTGACTTGGGCTCTTTTCGTGACTTGGACTCCTAGCTGGAGGAGGATTTTTACTTCCTTCTTGGAATTGGGCTCGTGATTGGAATAGGCTTTTAAGATTCCTTCTTGACCAAGGATGTCCAACCAATATAAATAAGGACTCTTCTTGTTGACTCTACACCTTGCAATTTCATCTTTCTCTACTTTCTAACTTATGTGAAGTGAAAGATTTTGGAGGAGACAATTTTTGTCGTGGAGGAGAGGAGCTGCCGTATATTCCAAGGTAAGTTTTTTTTTCCTTCTACTTTTCTCAGCGAGGACCAGCCAGTGAGGCTGGAAGGGGTTGTCATCGAGATTACGGGATGCTGCTGGCCTCGGCCGGCGTGCTGCACTAGCTACCGTGTTGAGGGAACCAACCGCAAGTTGGTTGTGCGGCAACCACACAACTGTGGCTGCTGCTGTTGTTGGCGGCAACGGCAGCAGCTACTTTTCCCTTAATTTTTTGTTATTGGAGTAGCCGCTATAACCCAAACCGCACCAAGGCTCGATGGGTCGAGCCTAACAGGGCTACAGGTCAAGGAGGTGTGGGCATTAGCGCGGACCGGGGTGCGCTAGCACCTTGGGCCTTGCTGGTGCCGCAATATGAGGCTCTTCCAGGCCTCATTTGCGGCTTGGGCAGTGCTGGTGACTCAGGCCACATGGGCTCTTCTTTCTTTTTTAGCCTGGCTATGTAGTTTTTTTTTATTTTGCAATCTTGACTTGCTATTTTGATATGCTTCCGCTCTTTTTTTTTCTTCTTAGTTGCTCAGTTGTCATGTCGTATGACGAAGGAAGTCGATCATCTAGTTCACAAGTGCCTTTGTATTTGTGGGGTGGCTGTTCGGTTCATTTTTACACATGATTTTTCATGTTATTCACCCACTATTTTGAGTTAGTTCTTGACATTTTATAGCTTTTTTACTTCCTTTTTTTGTTTTGTTAGATTTTACCTTGGTTGGAATGAAAATGAGCTAAAAGTGCATTATTGGTTATAAACTTTGTTTTTGTTCATTTTCGTAGGTCAACTTCTTGGCCTGGCATCAACATGCTCTGGTGCTCGGATGAGGTCATGATCTTCATGAGACTTGTTCCAATGGATGTTAACTACAACATATCCAAATTTGACCTCCATTGGACAAGTATTGCCTATCCAACCAATCCAGCATGTTACCACAGCTCTGGAAATCCGGAATTGGCCAGCTTTTACCTCCATTGTGTCATCTTGATTATTCTTGTTACCATAACACTTGGTAACAAGAATTTACCTTAGTAGATGAGATATTTTCTGAAGCATTTGGCATCTTTGTGAGGACAAGGCTTCATCATTTGCAAGGGGACAAGAAGACAATGGGTGAAGACTTTGCATTAGAATACTAAAAGTAAAAGCTGGAAAGGAGGAGAGAGGGAAGCAAAAGGAGTGCAAAGAGCATCAGCCATTGCA